GAGAAGAGCACAAGAGGAATGTGGGACCCTATTCAGAGAAGCAGTGACGCCAGAGGTGGAGGCAGAGATGGGGTCATGGAGAAAGAGAGCAGCTGAGGACTCTAGATTCATGGAAAGAGAGGGACTGAGAGCTGGTGGCCAGGAGGCAGACTTGTAGTATGTGCCCTTTGGTAGTGCAAATTATTATATATGCCTGAGTGTTTAAAAAAAAAAAAAAAAAAAAAAAGAGCTAACACGAATACACGAATAGAGAGAAATACTGTTAACTGATGGTACATGGATGGGATTATAATCATTGCAGTGAAACAAGGTATATGATTTGTTGAATGTAAAATTGATGATCTGCCTTGTAAACTTTCACTAAATTTACAATAAAAACTAAAAAAAAAAAAAAAAAAGGCAGCTTGAATTTATATTTAAGTCATCCTCATGCCTTATGAAAAAGAGCATGGAATCGGGATCAGAGGAAGATTCATTAAAAACCTGTGATATGCAGATGATACAATCTTGCTTGTTGGAAGCCAAGAGGACTTAAAATACTTACTGATGAAGATCACAGACCACAGCTTTCTTTGTGGATTAAACCTCAATGTAAAACAAAACAAAAACAAGAATCCTCACAACTGGACCCTATAAATCACATCATAATAAATGGAGCAGAGATTGAAGTTATCAAAGAGTTCCTTTTGCTTGGATCCACAATTAATACTTATGGAAGCAGCAGTCAAGAAATCAAACCATGTATTACATTAGGCAAATATTCTGCACGAGACCTCTTTAAAGTGTTCAAGAACAAAGTTGTCAGTTTGAGGACTAAGGTGTACCTGACTCAAACCATGGTATTTTCAATAGCCGCATATGCATGTGAAAATTGGACAGTGAATAAGGAAGACCTTAGAAGAATTGATGCATTTGAATTATGGTCTTGGAGGAGAATATTGAAAGTGCCATGGGTTTTTATTTCTCAGTTTGATATTCAGTCTTGCTCTTGACCCTCTGTGACATACCACATTTTATACACAGAAAAAGCCACCTCTCCAAGAGTTCAGCCATCACAAGATAGATGCTATATATATGTAGAATGTGTGCTTTTGACTTCTGAACCCTTTACGAAGGACCCACAGTTAGTGCTAACTCTTCCTTGCCTTCTGGGAGTGGGGGCCTCCCTCTTAGGCTGAAGCCTGAGGCTGAGCACACTGAAAATTGGGTTCACTCAGAAATGGATTATGCTGGTGCCCCTTACCATCCCCATCCCCAATTCTGAGGCTGGAGATTATGCCCTGCTTCAGCTCTTGGAAAGGATCATTCCATCCAGGTGCCCTGGGTCAGACTTCCTCCTCTAGGGAGGATTGCAAGGGAAATAGGATGATGACCCAAATGGCCCCTGAGAGCTCAACTTCCCCGAGACTTCTTATTTTTGTCTATAACAGAATAGACCTATTGCCTATTTTTTCTCTCTTCTCTGTTCTTTTCTCTGAACAAAGACAGTCTTGGGTGTGTAAACTGCTTTAACCGGAGTCTGACTCAAACCAAGCAGTTAAAAATAGAGAAACATCCATGTTCTGTGGTGAATTATAAAGGTGAAGGTGTTCTGAAGGGAGGATTGTCTGGCAGACCTATGGGCAGAAGGCAGTAAGCCCTTTGATCTTAATGAGAAGTGGGTACTGCCTCAAAATGTGTGTGTGTGTGTGTGTGTGTGTGTGTGTGTGAAGAGTACTGTTTGTAATGGTCAAAGTTCTCAACAAAAGGATAATTTTCTATATGCAGAGCTGAAGATGCTGCCTTTGCCAATATACTTTGGTCAGGTCTGAGTTTTATATTTGGGACAGTTTTCAATATTTAACAATTGGAAATTTCTGCTTAGAAGTCTGGTTTGCAAACTCCACTGAAATCACTCTCACAGATACTATTACCAGTCTGCAGCACAACTTTCATTTTCTCTTTCTTTTCTTTTCCTTCCTCTGCTCAAAATGGGATCTGGAAGCCTAGCCATGTCTCTTCTCATGACTCTTTTAGTCTTATCAATCGCTAAGACCAAGTTTGTAGACCTGCCTCATTATCCATCTGCTTAGTTGCACTGAATATAGTCAAGAATATGTAGTGAACAAAATCTATCAACAGGATTTAGGATTACATTTTACTCATTAAATATGAGACTACACATCTCTCCCTGGGGGTGGGGTTGGGGGATAACAAGGACTGTCAGAAAAACAAACAAATCTGTGTTGGAAGAAGTACAACCAGAATACTCCTTAGAAGACAGGATAGAGACTTCATGTCTCATACTTTGGATATGTTATCATAAGGGGCCAGTCCCTGGACAAGGATATTATGCTTGCTAAAGTGAAGGGTCAGCAAAAAAGAGGAAGACCCCCAATGAGACAGATTGGCACAGTGTCAACAACAGTGGGCCGAAGGGTAACAGCAACTGTGAAAATGGCGCAGGATGGGGTAGTGTTCTTTTCTGTTGTGTATAGGGTAACTTTAAATCAACTCAATGGCACCTAACAATACCACCTATCATGTCTTAAAACTTTTCCACCTTTGGGAATTCCTTCCTGACCTTTTTTCTCCCCAGAATCGAGCCCCTGCAAAGTTAACTGATGTCATCACTGCCCCTTATCCCTATCCCTCATGCCTTCCCCCCTCAGAAGCAGAAGTAACTTTGTTCAGTTTAGGTTTTCAAAAACAAATTCATCTTGCTACACTTAGTGTGAATTTTTTTTTCACCTATCTTTATTTATTTTTTCTTAAATGTTTTATTGTGAACTATGTGATTACATGGGAGAACATTAGTTTTACATTCATTCTATCGTATAT